TTGAGAGAGAGGAAAACTCTGCTTCAGGGTACGTGCCCTGTTAAAAAAAAATCCATCGAAAACCCCCGTTGCTGATAAACTTACATACAGTCGGTATAAGCAAGGCGACGTTGAAAAAAAATTATCTGGGGCCTTTAACCCAGCTCTCTTTCAAAAACCCAGACGGAAAATACAAAAAAGAGAGGTTTTGTTCGAATAATCCACATATTATCAACTTTCAATCTCTTTATTTAAACCTTAGAAAACCTTAAATTAACAATATTATTCAGACAGCCTCCTGTTGCGTCATCCTCACTCAAAACCGTTACACACACATCGTTCTCTCAACTTCTCGAAGCTTCTACGATGCGGCTGCCCTCTATTATAGACGAATCAAATTTTATTTGAAATCATATTTTATGTCGCGCCGTGCAATAAGTCGAGTTCATCGCACGCTGCGCTTCGCGCAGCCTGCTCAAAACTCGACTTCTGCACGACTTGACATAAAATATTATAGAGCACTCGGTAATAAATTTCGTTTTCAACGAATGTGTGTACAGACCTCGCCTTTGGCTCGGCCTGTAAACTACACATTCGTTGAAAACGAAATTTGTGCCCTTGTACTCTAATGTACTATTCCGACAGGTTTGACTCGAATTATTTCATAGTCTTGAAACAGGATTCCTCTCCTTATTTGCATAAGAATTCACTTAATAACAAATCGCAAAAATATAAACAATAATGCAGTAAATTGTGTCAATAAATGTGAAAGTATAAATCAGTGAATTAGTAGATTCAATCAATAAGTACTAAATCACCATCAAAATAATCACAATAAAAGGATATGCTGACGCAACGCTACAGAACAATTGTTTCGGAGTCGATGAGCCACCATCGAGTAGTCATCAATCGATCTGTCAGAGTTTTCATATCTTCACATATGAAAAAATCCTATAGGATTTTCTATAGCATATCCTATGAGATTTCCTATACGAAATCCTATGAAGAATTCGAACATTTCCCTTAGGATTGTTCGGATAGGATTTCCTATAGGATTTCATCTGAGATTTTCAGCAGCATTTCCTATAAAGTTTAGGGGCATAAGGGTCACAATGAGGGTTAAACGTGTCATATATGGGTCCTAAAGGGTTACATTAAAATTATTGAAGAATAATGTGGGGATCTTATGGGGGCACATAGGAGTTATATGGAGGTTATCCTATAGGAAATCCTATCTGAAAAATCCTACAGAAAATGTTCGAATTCTCCATAGGATTTCCTACACGAAATCCTATAGATATCCTATTGGAAATTATAGGATTTTTTCATACGTGTTTCTGCTGCATCAGGACGTACTTGGGACCATTAATTATATGAGTGTTTTACATTGATTAATCATTTTCTTTTACAATATGGTTACAATATTTTAGTAATCCGCAAATTTCTTAATTCAATTTTAATTTGAAGATAAAATAAAAATGATGATTTTTATTTTGACTGCGTGCGATTGCCGCATCTTTTATTTGTATGAAATTGAATTCTGCTTGCTTCATTCTTCCCCATTTCATTTCTTCTGGAAAACATGTCAAACCATTGAAATAATATTTGCCGACACGATTTCTTGTGCTCCAGACAACCGCAGCATTACGGATCGTTCATTCCAATATGTCGTCCGTCTTCCCAAATTGAAAACCCTCTGGATGAAGAATCTGTCGGAGGTGACGGGCGCGGATTTGACGGAAATGCGCGCCCTTCAGTGGCTAGACGTCGAAGGATGCTCATCGATAACCGATTGGGCATTGATCATGATGATCGATAAATGTGTCAATATCACTTCTGTATATGCAGCTGGCCCGGCTACTTGGCGTTTACTGCTGAATGCTGAAGAATCGATCGTTGAATTGGGCCGCGCTCCGCGCAAGCTTCACCTTCACACCGATCCGCATCTCGCTGTGAGGTGGGAGGAAACCGGCAGAAATAGGAAACCGTTGTACGTGTTTGATCACTCGCGCTATTCAAAAGTCGATCCGGAAAGCTGGGATGGGTGGTATGGAAATGTCAAAATGCTCATTTGAAAATTATTTAGTATTTGTGTTTGAAAGGACGAGGATAGAAGTCTAAGATTTGTATTTCGTTTGTATGAGTTGATATAATCAACTCAAGATTAAAAAAAAACAATTCAATAAATAAAAAAAATGAGTTAATGAAAAAAATGTGAGTTGACCATTATTATCGATCGATAAATAGTGGATATTGAGTAGGTCTCACGTTTACCGAGCGATATTTTTTTCGTCGTTGATCCTGGATTTTATTCCGGGGAATCCCCTCTTTATCTCAATTACCTGAATTTATTTCGTGATTTAAAAAAATATTTTATTCGATAATTTATAGCGAATTGTATCGAGGTGATTTTTAAAATTGACTTTCCAAATCATTTCTTTCAATCTGACAAATGGTGGAAAAATTGTGAATTGAAAAGAGGTCCTTGAATTGAAAAGAGGAATATCGTTGTAAGAGGGCACGAGAGTAAAAAAAATACGGAAGTGCGGGCAAATCTGAGCTCCACAAATTTTCTTCATTTGGTGAATTTCGAGGCTCAAAAATTATCAGCACCAAATCCTTAGTACTTCGAAAATGTTACGGAACAAATTGAGGGTGATCTGAGAAGGATAATAGTATATTATGCCACCAGGCGATAAAAGTATTATCTGGCGAATGTGAATTATAATCCGAGCCGAAAGCGAGATAATAACTATAATAATATACTATTAATCCGGTGGATAATATACTATTCTTCACCCGGGGCCAAAGTGTCAGACCTGGGATTTTTTCGGGGAAAAATCGACTTTCGGCAAAATCGAATTTTTTCGCCGATTGAATGTTGATTCCAATGATTTAAGCTACGGGCTATTTAAAACTCTCAAAAGTATGTGGAAAAAGTGAAAACTGAAAATAGTATATTTCTAACCTGAAAATAAAGGATCCTCAGCCGTCAGTGCAATTACCAGCCGAGCCGAAGGCGAGGTTGGTAAGCACGCGGCTGAGGGTCCTTTATTTTACTTCCCGTGGTTAGAATGCGATTTTCCGTCTCGGCGTAGGTTCCGACGGAGGTTCCGTCAGGGAAATGTAACTTTGCGCCCGCCGGGACGGAAACATTTTATGCCTCTAGGGACGGAAAACCGCGATTCTAACCTCGCTTCGCTCGGTTAAATCGCGGTTTTCAGTCCTCGAGGTATAAAATATCGTGTGCCATACGGCAGTAAAAGGATTTTCTGACTCATGTGATTATAACGTCATATTCGTGAGAAAATACTTTTACTCCCTATGGGCACAATATACTATTTTTCACCCAGAGCCAAAGGGTCAGATGTTCGGTTTTTCCAGATGACTCAAGTGACGGGCTATCCAAAACTCTCAATAGTATTTGGAAAAAGTAAAAAAACCAATTTTTTTTTCACCTGGGGCCAAAGTGTCAGACCTTGGATTTTTTCAGGGGGCAAGTCGACTTTCCGCAAAATCGAATTTTTCCGCCGAGTGAACGTTGATTCTGTATCTACTAACGATTCTGATGCTAATGAAACCCTCGGAGGGCCCCAGAAATGTTGAAATAAAAAATTTAAATTTTCACCTGTGTATCTTGCAATATTTAAATGTAAAATGTATGCGTCAGCCAGCGGGGAAAAATAAATTCTCGCAGATACCCAAAGAAATTGCAACATTTCTACCAATTGATAAATTCCAGAGATATACAGGTCACGCGTTTAGAAGAACTTCGGCGACATTGCTGGCTGATTCGGATACTAGTACTACTATTTTAATGAAACATGGGGGCTGGAAATCGGTTACCATCGCTCAAGGTTATGTGGGAGAGTCTCTGGGAAATACGAGTCAAGTATTCCGCATCGCCAATCAATGTATTCCCAGTACTTCGAGTACTATAAACTCTACCGATCAAGTGCCCCTGAAGAGAATATTAACTGAAACTAATATTAATAATAATATATCCATGCTATCAAATTGCTCCTTACAAAACATGACAATCAATAATATCCACACCCAAAAAGTAAATAATGCATCATAAGTCAAAATCGTAATCTCTTTTGAACGGAATATATTCTACATTTTATAATGAATTAATAAAAAAAAACATCACGATTTGTGTTCTTAACGTGCTGCATTACTTGAATTTTTGCGCCTTCTCTTATTATGTAGACTTTTCTACTACAGACTCCATCTGACGGTCAACTAGAATACTCTCAGTTCACATTGTAACTGACAGTTTTCAATGTTTACATGATTTCATCAACTTCTATTCGTTAAATAATAGTGCGAAAAACTCGTGACAGGTGTGACAAAAAATAGTATATGCCACGCGGGAGTTTGCGATGACATTTTAACTCGGGGTTATCACCTCCTCGTCAAAAATATCGAAGAGTAATTAATGGCATTTTAAAAGAAAGATTTCAATGTTTGATTTTGAGTCAACGGCTGAGCCTGGCCCTGTTGGACATTGCTTGCGATTTTTTCTGGGTCGAGAAATGGCATGCTGATGCCTCTAAAGATGGTTTTGAACCAGGGAAGACTCCTAGACCCCACTGGACAATGTTGTCACAACTCTGCTTTTCAACTGAAAACAGACATCATTTTTAGAGACATTTGTCCTGTTTAGAGACATCAGCACGCCATTTCCCGACCCGCTCTTTCATTTGAGCCCAAAAAAACATTCATATCTTGTCTGACATCTCTGCTACAAACTCGGGTCTTCAACTCGGGCCTTCAATTGAAAGCCAGTTGAAAGATTGGTTTTCTGCAGGAAAATAATAGAAACCCCTCCGCCTCACCTCCTACATTTCCTCCTCGTCCGATTATCCTTAAATATAAAAAAAACGCATAATGAAAGGGCATCAAGTGGTGTCGCCAGTTCATTCAAATTTCCCTCGAGGAATCCGTCGGTAAGTCAGATTCTCCGGATTTTCCCCACAGATGTCGTTATCCCCAAACAGCTGTTGTCCCTCGCCACGTTGGAAGGGTCGAGTTGGTTTACCGAAAAGTCTATGTGACATTATACACAAGAACCTCCCTCAAAAGTGCTGATTGTTGATAGTAAAAAGTGGAGTTTGTCAAACAGGGGTGAGTAAGATCCATCATTCAGCGGCGCCCATCGCTCACCAATATTATCTCCATCGCCATTAATTTTCCGAACGATTTTTAATGACAAGTTGATACGTACACGTCAACGAGTTCAAGGAACTCCAACTGCCCACAGCAATTCACAATAAAAAAAAATGACTGGCTCAATTGAGGTGGCGAGTGAGTGCTGAGGGGTTTGGACGATTTATCGTCAGCATTTTATCGGCTTTGGGGCATTCTCCGGGGGTTTGGGGGATGGGGACTGGTTCGTAAACATATTTTCCATCTTCAGGGCTCAAAAATGAAGGTGAAGGAACTCTTGAAGACTGTGAATGTGGCCTGGTCGCCACCGGCCCAGCATCCGATTATGCTGGCTGCCGGCACTTCTGCTCAACAGCTAGACGCTAGTTTCAATACGTCTGCCAGTCTTGACTTGTACCTGCTGGGGCTGCAGACACCTGGGTATGACATGGAGCTGAGGGCCAGTGTACCCAGCGATCACAGGTAATTATTAGAGGGGGGAATTCTGGATTATGGGGTCTGAACTGGATTTAATGGTCAATGCAAGGGGAAAATGGGACGAGTGGATTTTTTGTGATCTGATGATTTAAGGATTCTGTTGATGGGGAGTGGGTTTAGGAGACAATGTCAAAAGATATTTTTTGTTGGAAATTTTGAAGGCTACAAAAAGTTTTATTAACATTTTCGGGTGGAGGCAATTGTTATTGAGATAATGATCTAGTTGAGGATTTAGAATTTTAGATTTGAATTGAATTGCTTTGATAATTGTTCAAAGTCGAATTATGATATTTTTATTGTATAAAATTTTATGAGCTACAAGAATGGTTTTCGTACATTTTCTTAAAAAACCCAATGGCTTTAGAGATTTTTAAGAAATATTTCGTATGCAAAATGTGTGAAAGTCATTTGTTCATAAAATTCTCTGATAAATCTAGGATTCTCTTAATAATGAGTGACTTCAGGAGAAAATGTCAAAAGATATTTTTTGTTGGAAATTTTGAAGGCTACAAAAAGTTTTATTAACATTTTCGTGTAGAGGCAATTGTTATTGAGATAGTGATCTAGTTGAGGATTTAGAATTTTAGATTTGAATTGAATTGCTTTGATAATTGTTCAAAGTCGAATTATGATATTTTTATTGTATAAAATTTTATGAGCTACAAGAATGGTTTTCGTACATTTTCTTAAAAAACCCAATGGCTTTAGAGATTTTTAAGAAATATTTCGTATGCAAAATGTGTGAAAGTCATTTGTTCATAAAATTCTCTGATAAATCTAGGATTCTCTTAATAATGAGTGACTTTAGGAGACAATGTCAAAAGATATTTTTTGTTGGAAATTTTGAAGGCTACAAAAAGTTTTATTAACATTTTCGGGTGGAGGCAATTGTTATTGAGATAATGATCTAGTTGAGGATTTAGAATTTTAGATTTGAATTGAATTGCTTTGAAAATTGTTCAAAGTCGAATTATGATATTTTTATTGTATAAAATTTTATGAGCTACAAGAATGGTTTTCGTACATTTTCTTAAAAGACCCAATGGCTTTAGAGATTTTTAAGAAATATTGCGTATGCAAAATGTGTGAAAGTCATTTGTACATACAATTCTCTGATAAATCTAGGATTCTCTTAATAATGAGTGATTTCAGGAGAAAATGTCAAAATATATTTTTTGTTGGAAATTTTGAAGGCTACAAAAAGTTTCATTAACATTTTCCTGTAGAGGCAATTGTTATTTAGATAATGGCCTAGTTGAGGATTTAGAATTTTAGATTTGAATTGAATTGCTTTGATAATTGTTCAAAGTCGAATTATGATATTTTTATTGTAGAAAATTTTATGAGCTACAAAAATGGTGTTCGTACATTTTTTTTAAAAACCCAATGGCTTTAGAGATTTTTAAGAAATATTTCGTATGCAAAATGTGTGAAAGTCATTTGTTCATAAAATTCTCTGATAAATCTAGGATTCTCTTAATTAATGAGTGACTTCAGGAGAAAATGTCAAAAGATATTTTTTGTTGGAAATTTTGAAGGCTACAAAAAGTTTTATTAACATTTTCGTGTAGAGGCAATTGTTATTGAGATAGTGATCTAGTTGAGGATTTAGAATTTTAGATTTGAATTGAATTGCTTTGATAATTGTTCAAAGTCGAATTATGATATTTTTATTGTAGAAAATTTTATGAGCTACAAAAATGGTGTTCGTACATTTTTTTTAAAAACCCAATGGCTTTAGAGATTTTTAAGAAATATTTCGTATGCAAAATGTGTGGAAGTCATTTGTTCATAAAATTCTCTGATAAATCTAGGATTTTCTTAATTAATGAGTGACTTCAGGAGAAAATGTCAAAAGATATTTTTCGTTGGAAATTTTGAAGGCTACAAAAAGTTTTATCAACATTTTCTCGTAGAGTCAACCGTTACTGAGATAACCACCTAGTTGAGGATTCAGAATTTCAGATTTCTCTCCAATTGTACTGATAATCGCTGAAAATTGAATTATATCTCCGAATCTACCGAAGATACCGAAATTTTCGTAACGACCTTTTTTGTAGCCCTCAGTTCGCCCAATAAAACAGCTCATCACAAAAATCGTTCCATCTCCCATAGCTATCGAGATATTCATTGAAATCCTCCCAAACCCCAAACTTCCAGATTCCACAAGATAATCTGGGGCTCCTACGGTGCCTCCCCCTCCGGCATAATCGTCGGTGGCTGTGACTACGGCACCATAAAAATCTACTCGGCCTCAAAGCTCCTCTCATCCGACCAAGACTGCCTCCTGAGCAGTCCAAATCGTCACACAGGTCCAGTGCGCGCGCTGGACTTCAACCCCTTCCAATCAAACCTGCTGGCGTCGGGCGCGACCGAGTCCGAGATCTACATCTGGGACATCGTGAACACCGCCACCCCGATGTCCCCAGGCTCGCCCTCAAATCCCCCCGAGGACGTCCAGTACATCCAGTGGAACAAGCAGGTCCAGCACATCCTGGCCTCGGCCTTCACCCAGCGCTGCATCATCTGGGACTTGAGGAAGAACGAGGCGATAATAAAGCTGTCCGACGCCAACTCCAAAATCCGGTGGAAGACCCTCCAGTGGCATCCGGAGATGGCGACGCAGTTGTGTCTGGCCTCTGAGGACGATCAGACACCGATTATTCAGCTCTGGGACCTGCGTTTCGCCTCGTCACCACTGAGAACTCTTCAGCATCATCAGCGAGGCGTTCTCTCCATTGCCTGGAGCACCCACGACCCCGACCTCCTGCTCAGCTGTGCCAAGGACAACACGATCCTCTGCTGGAATCCAAATGCAGACACTCCAGGGGGCCAAGTCCTCTGCGAATTGGCCCAGACGAGCCAGTGGAACTTCGACGTCTCCTGGTGTCCGAGGACACCTGGGCTCATTGTGGGCAGCAGCTTCGATGGTCATGCTGTCGTCTACTCCTTACTCGGGGGCTCTCAGGGACAGCCTCAGGGGAACGCCAATCAGATCGTGGACTCCTTCCCTGGGATGGATCCGTTCGTTCAGGCACCTGCGGTCGTGTCTGAGCCAGCTCCCGCCCTGGGGAAGGCCCCCAAGTGGCTCAGGAGACCTGCTGGCGTGTCCTTCGGGTTCGGGGGGAAGCTCACCATTTTTGAGAATGAACCTGCTGACGGCAGTGCTGGAACTCCACCCAGGAGGGGGGTCATTGTGTCGCAGGTCATCACCAATCCCGAGATGATTAAGAGGTCCAATGAGCTCGAGAGTGCATTGAAGAGCGAACAGTTCTGGGATTACTGCCAGGGGAAGATTGAACAGGTGCAGGACGAACATCTCAGGAGGATCTGGAAGTATGTCGGGGCTTATTTCAGTGAGGACGTCACGAAAAGGTTTGTGGAGATTTTATGCTTGGGGGGGGGAATTGGGGAAACTGTGAATGTTTTCGGAGGTGAATTTGGTAAAGAGCAAGGGTTTTCGTGGAAACTAGATTTTTTAAATATATTTTTAATGCAAAAAAGATTGATAATGAAGAGAATTAAATGAGTTATCTTGGTCTGTTAATGTATTACAAATTAGAAGGGTCAGTAAAAAAATGGAAAAAATGAAAATTTAACAAAAAAATCTAACAAAATTTAATTGAAAAAATAAAAATTCAAGAAAAAAAATAATTTTTTGTAGGAAATTGCATTCTCTGCAAATTAAAGTGGCACAGACACACTTCGATTTTTAAACATTAAAATCTGAAATAAATTTTTGGTGAAAGTTAACATAAATAGAACCTTTACATGGAATTTGTGCTAAATCGCCAGTCTAGTATTAACGATAATCATTAATTTGGAATTGTCACATAACACAGAGTCTTATAACAAAATGATCGTTTCAATATTAAAAAAAGTTTAACATATTGAAAACAAAACACGAAAAAAACATTAAAAAATTGCATGTCCAATATAAAAATTATTGACAGTTTCAAACTCTTATAAATAATTCATGTTTCTGGATGATAAAAACTCATAAAAAACCCTTGTTAAATAAAACCCTATTTTTGAAGAAAATTAAAAACAGGAATTGTGCACTGATGAATAATTATTTAGGGCATTTTAAATTCGTTTTTTAAAATATTTATTTCAATTAATCTTTCTCCAAACTATTTTTAAATAATCCCAACAATAATAATTTTAAATAATAATAATAAAAAATTGAATGAATAAATGAAAAAAACACAACAACAATAAAAATATATTTTTATTTACAATGACCACAGGTTTCTGGAGCTCCTGGGCTACAACCTAGCTGAAATAAACGAAAAGTTACAGAGATTCGTGCCCGAAGAGGACCTCGACCCAGTGACTGATGGAGTATCCAAGACCCATTTGGAGACACTTCAGAATGGAAATAATTTCGATCCAACAGCTGCATTCGACGCTATTGCCCAGCAAGAATTGAAGAGATCTCCAGTGAAGGTCAGGGACAGCAGTCTGAAGCTGAACACCAGTGACGATGAGGACGGTCTGATCACCCAGGCAATCCTAGTTGGTAACATAGAGGCGGCTGTTTCCTTGTGCTTCAGCAGCAAACGTTACGCCGACGCTGTCATCCTCTCGATGGCTGGGGGTCCAGACCTGCTGGCCAGAACCCAGTACAGATATTTCTCAGAGCACACTGGGGTCCTCAATTCACTCATCAATTTTGTGGTGAGTGACAACTGGGGGGAGATCGTGGGGAACTGCGACGTCAACTGCTGGAAGGAGACACTCGTGGGGATCTTCACGCACTCCAGTGCTGAGGAGAGATCTGCACTCTGTGAGGCCCTTGGGGATCGGCTGAGCTCAACTGACGATGCGGAGTTAAGGAGACAGGCGCAGATATGCTACATCTGCTCGGGGAATCTGAGTAAAGTTATTCAGGTTGGGGGAACTGGGGTGCAGGACACTGTCGAGCTGGTCATGGTGCTGAAGAGGGCACTGGAGATGCAGGGGAGCAGGAACGTTAAGGTAGTAGAATTCTTGAATATTCTTTTAAAATAGCGTGGGAGATAGCTCGAACAAATGGTCTTGCGTCGAATTTTCATGAAGCCCGCCTAGCAAATAAAAGAGAATTGAATTCCTTTCTGTGAAACACGAATAAACGGAGCATAATTGTCCAAATCATTTAGGTCAGAGGAAAATAGAATAATTCAATTTTCTTAATATTGCGTTTAGTAAGGTTTTCTTCGAACAAAGTTGATTAGAATTAATAGCTAGAATTATGAGATTATCTCACATTTTTTACGTTGAGGATAGGAGAATCTGAATGCAATATAGTGAAAATGATGATCGATTTTTTCACTTTGAACAAATAATATTAATATCCAAATACAAAATTTCTGATATGAATAAAAAGAAGCTGTGACTCAATATTCCAAATTAAGTTTTAATTTTTAATTTGGTGCTGATAACACGAGATGATAAAATTCTAAGCTCGGAATTATATTGATGAGATGAACAACAGATTAATTGAATTACCGTGTAAATTAACTAAAAATTGATAACAGTGTGGCCACGCACTTTTACCAGAGTATCATTTCTTCATTTATTCGTACAATTTTCAATTCACACAATTTTAATTGAATTCATACAAGTTTAAATTTTAATTGTTATTTGTTTTTTGAAACATGAAAAAAAGAAAATTAAAAGATTAAAAATGAATACATTTTTCATTTTTTTTATTTTTGGAATTTTTTAGTTGACATTTTCCTTGAAAATTGATAAATTCACACAGTCATCTCAATCAAAACGTTTTATTTTATTTAATTGACAATTCATTCACATAATGAATAAAAAAAAATTATAGATGCAATAAATCCATTTATTCCATCCAAATAAAATTTGTTTAATTCAGCAGTGAAGTGGTACACGGAGATAAGTCGACTTATCTCCCAGTTGAGTTTTTGAGGAATATTTCAAAATCTAAGGGAGATAGCGAAATTTTCGTAATTGTATTTGTTGTAGCACTCAATCGGTTCCACAAAAAAGGTTACAACAAAAATTTTGCTATCTCCCTTAGATTCCGAGATATTGATTGAAAACTAGTCGATAGTCAAAATTGACTCATCTCCTTTTACCACTTCGCTACTGAATTCAAATGAGTCATTTTCCTTGATGTAATTAATATTCTGAGTCACGAGGCATAATTTTCATTTTATTTTCAGGTGGATGGGCACATTGGAAGGGTCTTGGCACAGTATGCAGAACTACTGGCCTCTGAGGGAGATCTCGATGCTGCACTGGGCTATCTGAAGAGTGGGGAGGAGGGAGGGATGGGAATGTTGAGGGATAGGCTGTGCAAGGCGCTGCAGTACGTTCAGGGCGCGGTGCAGCAGCCAGGGAGGCCAGGACAGGGGCAGCCACATGGACAACAAGTGCAGGGACAGGGCTATGCTCAGAAGAGCCAGCAGGGGATTTATGGCGGTGGGCAGCAGGGACAGAGTGCATATTCACAGAATCATCACGGGTGGAATGCCAACAACTGGAATGTTAATCCGGTGCAGAACTCCTGGGGAATGTCTCAGGTAATTTCATTCAATCTTCAATTGTATTTTTTTTTTTCTATGGGGAATTTTGTTCTGTGAATAGGTTTTCTGAGATTTTGTTGTTGATTAGATAATTTTCAATATGTATGATCAATCGGAGAATTTTTTTTCTGTAGGAAATTTAATCCTCTTTAGAAAAGGTTTTTGATTTTTTTGTGTAAAACTTCTTCGTTCTAAAGATATTTGGAAATTTTTGGGGCTCAGTTCACTCGTCAATTTGACATGAATGTTGAATCATCTCCTCAATGATTTTCAATTTCATATTCATTAATCTAAAGCTTCAATTTTAATTTTTTTATAGGGAATTTTGTTCGATAAATAAATGGGTTTTTCACATTTAGTTGTTGATTAGATCATTTTCAATATGTATGATCAATCGGAGAATTTTTTTTCTGTAGGAAATTTAATCCTCTTTAGAAAAGGTTTTTGATTCTTTTGTGCAAAACTTTTTCGTTCTGAAGATATTTGGAAATTTTTGGGGTTCAGTTCACTCGTCAATTTGACATGAATGTTGAATCATCTCCTCAATGATTTTTAATTTCATATTCATTGAAAATAAAAATATAAATAAAAATCATATAAATCTTCAATAATATGTCATTTTAAATCATTTTAATTTTTTTATAGGGAATTTTGTTGAATAAATAAATGTTTTTTTTTTTACATTTTATTGTCGATTAGATACTTTTCAAGATGTATGATCAATTAGAGATTTTTTCCTCCAGGAAATTCAATCCTCTTCGGAAAAGCTTTTTGACATTTTTAACTTTCCGACCCGTAGGGAGGAAGTTATTGTAATGACCCCGAAAATCGAATGTGGATATTTCATCATATTTCCATGTTTCATGACCGCTGGAAAAATTCTGACGTTTTTGGATGGGTGTATGTGTGTGTGTGTGTGCGTATGTAACCAATAATTTGGTCAACGATTTCTTTGAAACGAATGATTCGATTGAAGCTTTTAGTCACTTAGAACTGATTACATTTTGAACAACATCGTCTCAGCAGTTCTTCAGATTTTCCGACAAAACTAGTGAAAAAACGTCGAAAAATTACGTTTTTTCACAAATTTCATTATTCCTCCTAGAAGAACGATGGGATTGACTTTCTGCCGTCATTGTCGATGCAGCTCGGTATGACTAAGGCCTGAGTCAAATTCCAGTGAAATCGTCTCAACGATTTTGGAGTTATAGGAAAATTAATTTTTGGATTCGAATTTTTTAGAGTTTTTTCATAGTGGTTTCATCTTTTTTCATCATTTCACAAAATAATGTCGAGGACAATTTAAGAAAAATATTTCAAGAAATTGTCAGAATTGGGACCGCTATTTATCGGTGGTGGCATGGTGATCGCCCTCATAACATGGACGACCGATAGTTTACTCGTTCAAACTTGTTCAAACGCTCACATTGTAGCTGACAGTATTTTTAATTGTTGTACTCGAAGTTCCGATGGTGTGATATTTTAGAAGAACTTGAGGATTTGCAAAATAATTGATTGAAGTACCAACGATAAACCATCGGACGGCCATTTTTCTTAGTGCAGGCGATACCCACCAGACATCGCAGCGATTTATAGCGTCCCCAATTGTGATATCCACTTGACAGTCGATAAGATAGATGTCCTTATTTTTTCTTTTTTTTTTCTTTTTTTATATCAACAATTGGATTTCCATATCATTCGAGACTGACTGAATATCCATGATGAAGATTGCCTCCACAATTAGTCATTAACTTGGATAGAATTTTCAAAAATTGCGTTTCTTTTTTTTGGGGCGTTTTTTCTTTTTTTTTTCTTTTTTTATATCAACAATTGGATTTCCATATCATTCGAGACTGACTGAATATCCATGATGAAGATTGCCTCCACAATTAGTCATTAACTTGGATAGAATTTTCAAAAATTGCGTTTCTTTTTTTTTGGGCGTTTTTTCTTTTTTTTCATCGATGCGTGTTCATGGAACTTAGTACTAATTCAATTAGGAGAATGACCGACTCAGCGGTTTGTTAGTGATTCGCATAAGACATGTGAAAAAAATGAACAAAAATAAGTTTTTCCTCGGAAATTCACTAATTTTACATAGAAAAACGATGGAATCTGTTGCTCATCTGATCGATGCAAATATATGTGATTCAATTTAAATTGACTGCTGAGTAAATTGGTCTCAACCGTTTTCTAGTTATCAAGATGAAAATTTCGAAAATTAAGTTTTTTGTTTTAATAAACAGACCAATGGGAATCGGTCGAGAAGTTATTGGTTCGACCCGTAATGGGTCACACCCACTCCAACCCTCCCACAATGGGAGCGAGCGTAGCGAGCGACCAAAGACCCAGTCGAATTACAACCCACCCGTAATGGGAGCGAGCGAAGCGAGCGACCAACAACCCAGATCAATTTTTCAATAAACTTTTTCTTTTATAAGATATTTGGAAATTAATGAGAAAAAATTTTTGGGTTTCTGTTCACTCTTCAACTCGCCAAGAATTTTGCAATCATTTTTGTCTCATTAAACAAATTGGTGGAAACTTTTATTTTGGAATTAAACATAATTTAACGTGAATTGGTGAGCAAAAGCTGAAAAAACGCATGAAATATCTCAATTTAATAGGAATATCTCATTCATTTTCCAATAAAAAAATCTTCTGTAAAAAACCCTTAATAAAACCTTCTTAAATTATCATTTTTTAATTATTTTTGCCAAAAATTAATATTCTTATCAAATTAAAAAATGTAAGATACTCCTTAAAACTCCTGTTAATTTTATTTTGATTTTTCTCCACAGGTGCCTCCAGTGCAGACTGCCCAGCCCCTACCGTCTCAACCTCTCCAGCCCCTCCAGCAGCCACCGAAGACCTACGGTCAACCCCTGACGATTCTCTCCCCAGCAACACCCCCCACTGCCCCTCCCCCAATGCAGACTGCTGGCAGCTCTCACAGTGGCTCGAGACCCTCCAGTGTGGGCCCCTCATCCAGGCCCAAGTACATGATCGATCCCTCTGTGAAGAGTCCTTCGTCCTATGGAGGATATGGACAAGGGTATCAAGCACCCAATCAAGTGTTTGGGTACCAGGGCCAGGGGGGATATCTGGGCGGACAGGGGTATGGAGAGACTGAAGGATTCAAGGGTCAAGCGAGTTTGATGACACCTAGTTTACCCGCACAACCGCCTCAGGGCATTTTCGATCCGACGATGGGCCAAGGGGCCCAGGGCGGAGCTTTCGGAGGGAACAGTGAACCTTCTGCTTATCAACCCACACCACAACCCGCTGGGTGGAATGATCCTCCCATTGCCAAGTCCAGAACTCAGGTAAAATAGAAAACAATTGAGTTTTTTTTGGTCAAGGCCCGGGTGTACTATCTTTCGAACATTATCTCGATGTTTTTTTTTCATCTTTCGTCATCTGAAATTGTCAATTTTCCTTCATCATGCAGAAGTTTTGAAAAATTATGAATGAAAAATAAAAAAAAAGTAGAAGAAATTCTTAATTTTTTCAAGGAGGATTTTTAATTTATATTCAGAATAAGTTGAATAACAAGAAATTGAAAAATGTATCTGATTTACGGGGACAAATGGCGGCCTGTCACCCAATATCATGCAGGGGGAAGACTGATTTCGTAAATCTTTTCCCACACTGCACAGAGACATTTATTACGGAAAAGGCTCTTTGAAAAAAGTTGTAATATTTTGGAGAATTTTTTAATCACACTTTTATCACATAAAAATGGCAGATGACTACATACCACTGTTTTGAAAATTGAGATACCTAGCTGTCACTTCCCATGAGGAGTTAGTGTTTAGTTATCCACCATGGAAAATGACAGCTAATAGATAATTTGCCACAGCGAGTCAGATATTTGTAATTTCCACTTTTTTCAACTCATTCTGAATCTCAATTAAAAACGGTCTTTGAAAAAGTTCAGAATGTTTTCTATTTTCTTTATCATTCTATCATAATTTTTGGGAATTTCTCCATGATGTACCACTCAATTGACAATTTTAGATTACGAAAGATAAAAAAACTCCAGATAACATTCGAAAGATAGTGAGCCCGGGCCTTAATTTAGGATTTATGAGGTATTGGGGGATTTATTGGAGTTGTTTAGTTTATTTCGCTGGGGAATTAGGAATAAATTAGTGGTATTTAGAGTGGAGAATTGAAAAATTGGGGAGAGAGTGTGAAATTTGGAGGGGATTTTATCATTTATTCATTTGATAATAGCAGAATCATCTTTTTAATGATTGCATTCGATGGCAAACAACTCGATAATAGCATTTTTTAATAATTGAGCATAGTAATTGTCGCTAATAAATTAGAAATTTGCTTCCGAATGGATTCTCTTTTTTTAATTCTTATTTCACTATTTTCTTCTTCTATTTTTTCATGTCATAGTACTATCATCAATTGAAATGTCATCAAAATTTTGCGTATTATTTCGTTCTGTCAAATAATTCTACATTGAGACCCTCTCAAGACTCGAATTCGTTTTCAGTCCGGGTTTAATCAAGGTTCAATCAAGGTTTAATCAGTGTATACCCGGGATTTAATCAGGGTTTATTCAAGATTCAGCCAGAGTTTAACCCAGGTTCTGTTAGAAGTTAGTCGGGACTATGAATCAATTTGAATAAGTATTCAACATAATAGACTGCTACCTGAGTTTAATAGAGATAGAGATTTTGATACAAAATGCTCATGACGGTATTGTGTAACTTGATAAGCAATGATGTTGTTCTCACCATTTTTCAACTTGATTAAGAAGCCATTGAAACATACTTTTCAAGCCCTGATTTAATTGCTATTACTGATGATTCTTTCAGTAATCATGAAAAAACCAATTTTCTCTTTCAAATCGCATAAACAATGTGCTGTAACTCAAAAACCAATTGTGCGACCCCCATCATATTCTGATAGAATCAAGAGGGTATTGTTATCAATTTTTTGAGCCATCACTAATTCCATTTTGATGACAATTTTTGGAGTGATCGTTGAAAAATCGATGTTTGGAAAAATATCAATTTTTTCGAATCTATATGAAAAATTGAATTTTAATTGGTGTCGATGAAAAGAGCTTGTGAAAATCTATATTCATGGAAAAATTTCTCTTGCAATTGATATTTAAAATTAATTATTCTATAATTTCTAAATAGTTGAACTATCTCACGACTTATTTTATTGAGAAAAGTTCTAAAGATCTTTTTCAAAATTCGAAAAAAAAAGAACCTCAATATCTTTATAAAGAAGGTCTCACGTATTTTTCCAAATCCACTAGTTTTCCAGATATCAAAATTATCAGTCAATTTATTGCATTCATTTCATCAAAGAATAGATCCCACGACTCATTGTTAATTCTTTGAAATTGATGCAGCCAGTGATGGCACTGTGCGACAAAAATGAAATGTCTGCGGAACACGCTGGCACGAGGAAGTGGAGGGCCAAGCATTCCAAGATAAATTGTCCCAAGGTAGATCACCATCGTGTCTGGCAATATCCCGTTAATTATCATGGATTTTCCTGTTTTCTTTTGTTACTAAATCATTTTTGTTCTCCCCGCTTCACCTGATCATCGCAATGAATGATGAGAATTGCAACTATGAGAATACCATCGTGAGACATGAAATCATCTCATGACTTTGCCATAATTTGTTGATTATTTTCACTAATTAATGATTTTACTGATTCAGTGAATTTTTTTTGAAAGATTAATTTGTTTTTACAGCCACAAACAAACGACTTCTCAGCTCAGAATCCAATTCTTCATCCGTTGAGAGGAGCTATGCCACAACAAGATTATAATGTGAGTTATTTTCATTAAAAAATAAATAAATTAATAATAATATAAAAATGTAGAGGAGCTGTGGCCGAAAGAATTGAGGAAAACTTTATTTTTGTGTTTTTAGTTGAGGGTCAAATAGTCTTAAGGGTCAAATGACCTTTTCTGATTACTCTGCTCAAAGCTGTTTGACCCATGAGACTTAACTCTAAACGTTCTTGAGGGTTGCTTGACCTTCAAGACCATTTGCCCCTCAACTCCAAACGTCCTTGAGGATCATCTGACCCACAAAACCATTTAACCTTCAACTCGAAACGTCTTTGAGGGTCGTTTGACCCGCAGGATCATGTGATTTTTTACTCCAAATATCCTTAAGACCCTCAATTCCAAACGTCTTTAAGGGCTGTTTGACCCTCAACTCCAATGATTTTTAAAAGTCATTTGACCTTCAACCCCAAATGTCTTTGAGGGTTGTTTGACCTTCAAAATCATTAGATCCTAAACCTCAAATGTTCTTAAAGGTCATTTTACCGTGGAACCTATTTGACCCTCAACGCCACACATTTGAACGGTCGCTTGCCCCTCAAAATCGTTTGGCTTTTAACCCTAAATAATCTTAAGGGTCCTTTAACCCTCACAATTATTTGAATCTCAACCCCAAATTGTTCTCAAGCGATGTTTGATCCTGAAAACCATTTGACCTCAACGCCACAGGTCTTTAAACGTCGTTTGACCCTCAAAATTATTCAACTCTTGATCTTAAACGTTCTTAAGAATCGATGGAACCTCAAAATGATTCGACCTTCAATTCCAAACATTCTTGATCATTTGACCCTCATACCCATTTGACCCCCAACGCCGAACGTTCGTAAAGGTTATTTAACGCTTAAAATTATTTCACCTTCAACTCCAAATATCTTTAAGAATTGTTTGACCCTTTCGAAAGGCTCTTTTTCCCTTTTCAGACAACTACAAACGCAATTTTGCTGAATGATCTTTTTTCATGTGTTCATATTGATTCAATTAATTAGGCACCTGAAGAGAATTATCACCAAGACCCTCACAACCCTTACGGCCAGCCACAGTACAATCAAACAATCCTCAATCCATCGAATCAGTTCAACCCACCCATGGGTTACGAGCAACATAATCAACATCCTCATCAGTACCAGCCACAGCAGCATCAACCCCCTGTTCAGACCGCTAGAGTGGCTGAACCTGAAGCACCCAAGGCACCCATTCCTGAGGAGCATGTCCACCTCAAGACAGTGTTGGATGAGTTGAGGATCCGGTGCTATGAGTCAGCGAAAAATCCACAGACTAAACGGAAGATCGAGGATGTTGCTAGGAAACTTGAAGCTCTGTACGATTGCCTGAGGGATAAATCCGTGAGTATTTAAAAAAAAAGAGATTAATCGAGAGGGAGAGATTCAAGGGAAATGTCAAGGACATTTTTTTTGTAGATGAATTAATTTTTTACAAAAAGTTTTCGTGATATTCTCTCTTTACAATCATGTCGTTTCCTTCGGTCATAGGGAAACAATTTTTTATCAGTTGAATTGAGGAATTATTGTTAATTATTTTTATTTGATCCTCAGCTCTCACCAAACACTCTCCAAGGACTCCATCAAATCTGTCAATCGATCCAGGGAGGAAATTACACAAATGGATTGAGCATACATACTCAATTAGTATCAGGACCTGATTTTAGTAGAATTGCCCCCTTTATGCCTGGGATCAAAGTATTGCTGCAGAGTGCACTCCAACTTGGTGTTTACGTAACGTAAAACCGAATGAACGAATTTCTAACGTTTTTTCGTATTCAAAGCCTTATCAGAGGGGTGAAGTGATGGAAATGGTGAATTAGCTGCTGAATCAATGAGTTAATGAATAGTGATTCAATTGACATTGAATCCTGAATTATTTGGTTGTTCATTAATTGTTGGTGATCGATCAATTTTTATACTTTAATATAGAGCAGTCAGCAAAACCTAGTTTTTATTCATTTTGCACGTCCCATTAGTATTTTAACAATTTTTTTTGTGGTTTAATTAATCAATAATCTGTTGAGGAATTAAATATTTTATATCGATCCAGTACGCTGCCAACTGTAATTAATCGAATATTAGTTAGTAAATTAACTAAATACACTGTGCAATTACTGATAATTATTGAATTTATATTTTTAGAAAATTTAGTTTCATTCGAAATGGTTCAGAACGTGAAGAAATTTATTTCCAGTTATTGATTCGAGTTTTTAATCATTAGAAATTTAAGGAAATCTGTGTACGTGATACGCCAAAGTACTTTTATAAAATCCGTTTGAATAAATTCGATGAGAAATGGAGAGGAAATTTGATTGAATGATTGTATTGACTGAATTTTTTACAGAACATGGAGGAATTTTGAGGTAAAAAGGTCTCCTGATATATTTTGATAAAATGAATCATTGTCAAGATGATCAATTTCTCAATGAGTAAAATGAATGATTCAAGTGGAATTAAAAATCTTCAGCTGTCGATTTTGTTATCGGTTTGATGATGAGTAGTTTCAAGAGAAATAGTCAAGGAATCTTTTCTCCAGAGAATTAGCTTTATCACAAAAAAGTGACACATCTGAAGGAAAGCTGTTGTTTCTCGTTTGATTGAGGTGAGGATTTCAGGTAATTATGAATCAACAACAATAATCCAATGAAATAATTATGTAATAACCAACTATAGTGTAATATTTTAATATTAGTAATGAAGAAGTACAGATGCCTTTATACAGTATGTATAGATAGACAAAGTCATAATATAATTCTCTTAACTATCTCACCACTTGCATTTTTTACTATTTTTCTTTATTTTTAATTTATTAATTATCCTTAAACAATCCGCTTCAAATTAATATAACTCTACAGAGAAAGATAGATATGTTTAATCGTGTATTCACTATTTTGAGAGATTTATGCTCCATTTGTTTCGTATTCGTGAGGCATTTATTACATTTAATGAAATAGAAGTTTCTTGCATAAAAACAATTTCACGGCAATTTTTGTTGATTAGATTTCTTTAATTAACTCCATTCCCTTCGTGTAAAACGGATGAATGCGTTAGACAGTGATGAATATTATTCGTCTTCGCAAATTAATGAATTTTTAATTCATTTTTTATTCATTATTAATTCTTTAGTGAAGTGAGAAACCATAAAATATCAAATAAATGATTTTTTACTTATTCAGAATTTTCTCGATAACCAGTGATCGTAGTAAAAAATGTCAAAAAATATCTGTGGAAAATTTAATTCGCTACAAAAAATGTTTTCTGACATTTTTCTCTAGCACCACTCATTACCGAGATATTTCAACTATTAACGAGTCATGAAAAATCGTCGTGTTTTTTACGTTTCACCACTCCCCTTCCGAATTAATGAATTAATTAATCAATAAATAATGATTATGTTTTCTCCACAAAACAATTTAACGACAGCTACGTTGAATCATCTAAAATTCCCTTCCATCTATTGTTTTATTATATATTAATAAAAATTATGGATATTTTACAAACATTGGTATCTTAATTAATAAAATTTGTACAGAGTGTCATATAATTTTGTTTAATTACATCATTTTCCCATAATTTCACTCACTCTCATAGCAATTTCTAATCTTTTGCATTTTTAATTGATTAATTGATGAGTTAAACGATCAAATCGTTACACACTTTGTTTTCCTCTCGACAAATTTATCTTTTCGAGAAATTTCATCATTCAGTCGACGATTCAATAGATTGATAATACCTCTAATTATTTATGAACATGATTTATAAACCGAGAATCACTGGAATCGATCGTCCACTGGGGATAATCTGACTTTACTCAAATTAATCAATACCCTCATTAGGAACTATCTAAAAAACGATTGAAAATTGTGAATACGTTGTGCTAACGATTCATCGATTTATCACGAACCGTTTTGAGTACGGAATAAAATGATAAGCAGAAGAATTTTCATCTTGATTAATGAATAGTCAATTAATCAAGTGGTGAATTGAAATTTATCCAAAATGGATTTGATTATTTTGGAGTATATCTCGGAGGGGGAGATGTTCACGAAAAATTGTCAAAAAACATTCTTGTAGAGAATTTGATTTCATACAAAAAGTGTCTTTTGATATTTTTTCATAGATTGCTTCATTTTTCAGATAATTGAAGAATTAAGGAATGATGAAATCTTCTGGGTCGTATTTTTTCAAAACGATTCTTCAGGACAATTTGGGGAACTTTGTTTTTTTTTTGTTTTGTTGAGGGTCAAATGGATTTAAGAGTTATTTGACCCTTTGAGGGTCAAATCACCTTTGAACTCATTTGACCCTTAAGGATTGAGGATCAAATTACCTTTCAACCCATTTAACTTCAAAAAGTTTAGGGTCAAATTACTTTTCAACCCATTTGACCCTCAAGGGCTGATGGCCAAATTACCTTTGAAACTATTTGATCCTCAAGGGCTGAGGGTCATATTACCTTTTAACCCATTTGACCCTCAAGGATTGAGGATCAAATTACCTTTTAACCCATTTAACTTCGAAAAGTTTAGGGTCAAATTACTTTTCAACCCATTTGACCCTCAAGGGCTGATGGCCAAATTACTTTTGAAACCATTTGACCCTCAAGGGCTGATTGTCATATTACATTTTAACCCATTTCACCCTCAAGGGTCGAGGGTCAAATTACCTTCGAAACCATTTGACTCGCAATGGTTGAGGGTCAAATTACCGTTTGAAACAATTTGAACCTCCAGGGCTGAGGGTCATATTACCTTTTAACCCATTTGACCCTCAAGGGTTGAGGGTCAAAATACCTTCGAAATCATTTAACTTTTTCCTGATGTTCCTGGGTTTACCATAAAATTCTCCCCAAAAAATCCCTCATCATTTCACCCTCAGACCCCCCCCCCAAACTCCCTCACCCTCTCTCTAAAAATTCTTCTGCTCTTAAAAGCCCCCCGACTATGTAGAAATCTCAATAACTGGTTCAGCAGTGTTATTATTAATCATCTCCCCCTTGTCCCTGCAGCCCATCTCGAACCCGTCCCTGATCTCCTTCCTGCCCCCCTCCGGGCTCAAGCCCCCCTCATCAATGGGGCTGACCCTCTCCTCGCTGTACTCATCATACTCATACTCCCCCCTCTTCCCAGTGATAAACTCGGGATGACCAATTCCATAATTATCCCCAGCATACGTGACCTTTCCCATGAACGACCTGATTTCATCGAAGTATGTCTCCTCCCGATCGTTCTCATTACTACTTCCTGGTGAATCAGCAACGGAAACAACGACACTTCCGTCATCAGCCTCATGCTTCTTGAGATGTCTGTCGAGATTGGTCTGCTGTCCAAAGCACCTCTCGCACAGTGGACACTTGAAGGGCCTCTGCTTGTCATGAATGTTCCTGACATGACGCTGAAGATTGCTGGAGATGCTGAAGGATCTCTCGCAGTGTTTACACTTGTACGGCTGCTCACCGGTATGCGTTCTCAGATGTCTCGTGAGATTAGCTGACCTTGGAAATACTTTGCCACAAAATTTGCAGGAGTACCTGTCCTTGATTTTACCCAGGGGATGATGCATCACAGTCTCTTGAAAAGGCTTGACCCCAGGAAAATTCATGGGTGGTCTTGCCAGCATATCGAAACCCGGTCTATTGAGACCATTCATGAGATTTCCCAAAAATGGAAGACCCCGGGTGGGTCCAAAGTGGGGCAATGGCGGCAGAAGACGAGAATCGGGAGCTGATGGTGGAGCTGAATGAAAACCCGGAAATGTTCCTGGATTTCTGTACATTGCCTCGATGAACATGGGATGAATGGGACGTGGATAGGAGATGTGAGGGGGTGTATTTGGAAGTTGTTGCTCTTGTGGATGAGTCATGGGCACTGGGGACGATGGGGATTCATGAAAATCGCGTGTATCACGATTTTTACCCATTTTGCTCGTTTTGCTCGCTTCGCTCATTTTGCTCATTTCGCTCAATTTGCTTATTTCGCTCAATTTACTCATTTCGCTCATTATTCTGGCATCCATATTTCTCTTTTGCTCCTTCTCCTCGTCATTGACAGACGTCTTCACCTCGGGAGTAATGCTCCTCGGCACTGGTGCTGGTGATGGCGTTCGACTCTCGGCAATTCTTGACTCCCCAGGTGTCTCAGTCTTCTTCATAACTCGTAGATCAAGTGGTTGATCAGTGGATTCAGACGACGATGATGACTCAGTCTCCATTTTTTCCACTAGTGTATCACGTTTCTTGACTTCATCATCGCTGTCTGGGGTGGGTTGAACACTCGGTCGTGCTGGTGATGGTCTGAATGTCGATGTGGCTTCTTCACCAGCTGATGGTGAGACTTTGTTCGTTGGGAGGATTCTCGGTGGTGTGAATCTCTCCTTCTTTGGGCTCTCGCTTTGATTTCGCTTTGGATCCTCGGGGATCTTTGGGAAGAGGAGGGGGGTGTTCAGGAAGTTGGGGGTATTGGGGAAGATGCCGTGGTAGGGGGCCATCAGAGCTGGTGGGTAGAGGGGAAAACCTCCTGGTAGGGAGACTGGCGGACGTGGATACACCAGGAATGGATCACCACCTGATGATGGCAGTTGAGACATGACGCCTGATTGTGGTGGTGGCGGTGGTGGTGGGGGATGAGGATTACCACAGCGGGATGGATTTGTCGAGTAGCAGAAACGTTTATGCTTTGATAAAGAGGTACCGGTGTTGAAGGATTGTCCACATTTGGCGCAAGTTATTTGCATTCGGCAGAGGGAGTGCATGCGTTTGTGACGGCAGAGATTTGAGAATTGGGTGTAGGCTTTGAAGCACACCTCACATGTGAAGGGCTTGACACTGCTGTGAATGTGGGTATGCTGTTTCAGCCCTGATGACGTTGCGAAGGTTTTTCCACACTCGGTGCATGCGTGACTGCGAGCGCCCACGTGATTTGTGCGGATGTGGCGCTGGAGGTTGGAGGCGTCCGTGAATACCTGGGGAGGCGCCTTCCATTAGACTTGGAAATGCTTTTATGCGCTTGACGGCGGGGGTGATGATGGGAGAGCGGGGCAAAATGGACCGGCGGCGGGGGG